CAAAGCATGTATCCACACTGTTTTCATGCTACACCTGGAAGTGCCCTGTCCAGTTGTTCCTGCTCTGCACATGCGGGTTCCCACAAGTGCAGCAATATTACTACCTTGGAGTGGGACTGAGCATGCACCTTGTTCTCAGGTTCTGTCTAGGACATGCTTATTGCCACAAGCAGCACAATGTTAAGGCACCTACAAATTTTGGCACATGATTGGCCCTTCATAGCATCACTTCTAGGCATGACACAGATACAGTGTAGATGTCCTGAATGAGTGCAGTGGCTAAGTACACAGTCACAAAGCCTGAGACTGAATTGATTCACAGGTTAATCTAAGCTGTGTAGATTGAACTGATAACCAAGTGAACAGACATTCGCTTATGCAGCCACATGCTTGTAGTGGCCCAAACCAGAAGTCAGGGAGTGCTAGAGCATGCTTTCCTGCTTGGCTGGAGCAGACAGCTTGGGCCAAACCTTCCTGCCCACCCTGAGAGGGGGAAAGATGTTATAGGGAAGGTGCAAAACACCCTGGGATGCTGAGGAACTGTGAGTTGACTTCAATCTGGAGAGGATCTGGGGCAGAAGTTCCATAAACCAGTTTAACCTAATTCAGTTGTTTGATTGTCAAATTGTGGTTTGGAGCATTAGCAGAATTCATAGGTATTAGCAGGTATTAACTTGGCAGGGGTCACAATGTGAACACTTCTGCTATGGCCCCCTTAATAAATGAGCACAAGCATGTGTAACAAAATGGTCAAATGTGGTATAGAGACCATGTGAAGAAGTATTAGTTAAGTCCAATACTACATCCATACAGGCCATTTTGAAAGTGGTTTATGTGCACTAAACTTCTGTTGTGTTAGAGATTTGAACCAGTTTCCAATCACTTACATCAGTTTATGTGTAATTTCTGTCTATAGCCAGTGAAACAACTAGAAAAATGCCTGTTTTGAAGGAGCACTGAGAAAATCCACAGGATCACAGTGGATGTGTCTACATGTTTCTTTATGGCACACTTTGGCGACATATTGATCATGTGGGTCTACATGTGATCGCTGGCTATGTCGCTGTAGTGGTGCACTGCCTGGCTATAGCATGCCACTATGGTGACATAGCTGGTGGATCTCACCGTGTGCTGCCCATATGCCACAGTATGGGCAGCTACTGTCCTGTGTTTAATACTTTCCCCAACCAATTAGTAAAACATGGCACAGTACTAACATTGCCATATAGCAACATGTAGACACATTCTGTCACTCATACTATGCCTAGACATATCCTCCACATACACACCCATTTTTGGCTTTTGCATTTCTTTGCATTGTAGAGCTGTGCTGTTATTACTTACAGGGTGATACAGAAAGTCCTTTATATTACAGATCCCTGTTTTTTGCACATTTGCATGTCATGCTTAGCTACTGTGCTGGGGGGATTTGCTTTCCCATATACCAGCTGTTGTGAAATGCTGAATTCTGCTCCTTAATCCTGGGTATGTCTTTTGTCAGTGATGCTGAACACTAAGATGCAGATGGAGAAATTACCTTAGTCCCACTTATGAGTTGGTACCAGTCATAAATTCAGTACAACTCAGTTCAAAATATTACAGTTGAATTGCTTAGATAATTAAAAACTCTTCTGGATAAGATGACATACTGTAGTAAATTGATGACTTACTGTAGTAAACATGAAGCTTTTTAATAGCTTGCTTCACCATAAGATATATACTATTCATGTGCGGTTCATTAACTTTATTTCTAAAATGTGTTCACAAAGGCACCCAGTTCTGGTTACATCATAAAGTGAAAAAAAGCTAAATGTTTATGGCATATATAAGACAAGGTCCGGTCAGAAAAGATACAAGTGCTGAGTTTATCTATAAACATTGGGGTACTGTGTAATTTCGACCACACAAGCAACTGATTGCCTGGTTAGTGTCTGGCATTTATATGAATTCCTGTTCTTCAAGAGAGTTATTTTTATCCTTTATTAAATTCTTCCAAATCTTTCCTTTTTTTCTTTTTAAAGTATATACATTTTTTTTAATATACCATGCTGAAAAATCTAAAAAGATGTCTCCAGTGCAGGAAGATGTATCTTTAGTTGCTCTACTAATTTAGAGCCCACGGTGAATCCAGATGTGGGGGAGTGAAATTATCCATATCTGCCTACTGTAGGGTTCCCATGTCTTTTTCTTTAAGCACCTGGATTGAACAGATTTTGAATATGGACCAGTTTCTGCATTTGTACTTTTCATCCTCACTTGTCATGTAGGCAGACTAAATTCTCCACTTCAGCATAAATTTCATTATGTATTAATAATTTCAGACTGTATGAATGATCTTAAGACCCAGTTCTGAAATAAAATATGTATGAGTTGATTTCATGCATGTAGCCTCATCAGAATCTACCAAGAATCATCTCTGTGGAGATATTTTTAAGATCAGGTTCAGATTTTTCTCTAAGGGCATGGCACCAGGCAATGCTGACCTGAGAAGCATGGCATGCATTTCACGTGCAGCAGTCCCTGAACCAGAAATAGCGTAGCCTTCTTAGTCAAGCATAGGTTACAGATGCATCCATTGTACTTTCTAACAGCACAATACTGCTTCTTATTTGGAAGGTAGTGCGCATACAGCAGGCATTGCTTGCCTCAGCATGGAACTGCCTTCTGCTATATAGATATCCCCACTGGGTATGTTGGGCACAGGACTGCTGCCAATATGCACTGACTCCCACCTGCTCCTACTCCACACACATCAAATGCCAAAAAACAGATGTGGCTGTTATTAGAGGAAAACTGGGTGTTTGATAGTCAACACACAAGAGACAACAGCCTCAGAATGACATGGGTGCATGCCAAACAGTGAGTACTTACATTTGTGGGTTTATAACACCTGTGAAGCACCGTCCCTACCATGGTTGAAGTCACTGTTGAAGTGCCTCTTTGTCTTTTTGGCTTAGTTACAGACTTAAAATTAAAAAAGAAAAAATGAAAAGTAACAGCCAGTCTTTCTGTTTGGTTTGTTCCAGACGGCATATAGAAGCTATGAATTCCTCTGTCTGTCTCTCTTAATTACCTTAGTTAAAAGCAGGAATGTCTTGTTTTTTCTTTCTATACGAGTGTGTGTCTAATGAAAAATGACTTGCAAAATCAGGTCTGATGCAGGAGAAAGGAAACCAGTAAGATTCCCTTCACCCTGTAGGTCTGCCTAATTGTAATTTAGCACATTCTGACCACTGCATAAGAAAAGCCGGGTAGAAACCAGGCACTAAAACACAATTTCTCAGCTGTTTCAAGCTTGTTTGGTGATGCTAAAAATAATTTCTATTTGTGGCCTACTGTGCCAGATTGTACTCATTGCAAATCCACCATTGCAAAACCTTTTACCAACTTTGCTGACGGCAGGATTTGGCTCAACAGTTCAAAAGGTGAAAGGACAGTACATTCCCCATGCAGAAATGTTGATATGTCCCTACACACAGCCTCATCAGAATCTATTAAATATCATCTCTGTGGAGCCTCTGTGAAGCTGTTTGTGAGATCAGGTCCAGATTTATCTCTGTGGTCATATCTGCATGGCACAATGCATTGTTGAGCTGAGAAGTGCTGCATGTACTCTCATTTAGTTTCCAATATCACTGTTTGTACAGGGTGCATCTACATGTGCAATTAATGCAAAGCAATAAAGTTCAGTGCAATATGCACTGTAGTTTATAGCTCCTGGGTGCTGCATTTACACCTGCACTCAGGACTGCAGAACATTGAGTCATCTTGGCACAGCCTCAGCTGGCAAAGGGTCAGAGGGGGTCAGCTTGCCAGCCTGGGCTGCTTCAACCTGGCTGGCAAGGGGCTGCAGAGGGGCTGGCTGAGGCACAAGGGTGCTTCAGTGCAGGAGCTGCCTGCCGGCTAGCCCCACATTAAAGCACCCTTGTGCCCCAGCCAGCCCTGTCAGTGTCTACACGTGTGTTGCTGTGCAGTACTGTATTTACAAGTACTAACCTATGGCAGTGTTTATTAGTTTACTGTGACTTAATAGGGCTGCTTGTGTAGACATGGAGACTTTACTGCAGAACTAATTAGGCAGCTCTGCAGTAAATGTCTAATGTATATGCACCCACTGCACATGTCTATATGTGCACAGTTACTGCACAGTAACCGACAATTACTTCACAGTATGGGTGCGTGTCTACACGTACATGCCCATCCTGCTCTGTAACTATGGTGATTTATGCCGACTCGGGCATGAATTTTCTACCTGCATGATGCTTGTTTGGTGCATCATGCAGTTAACAAATTTACGCTTGAGTAGTTACTGCACAATAAGGTATATATAGATACCTTACTGCACAGTAACCTGTGTGTGTGGATTGATTTGGGACTAACTTTATTCCCAAGTCTGTCCACACACAGCTTTACTGTGCTGTAATGTCTGCACATGTAAATGCCAGCATAAAAACTGCTTACTGTGCAGTAAGTTACTGTGCAATAAATGCACGTATAGACGCACCCACTAAGTAGCACCTTGCTCAATGATTTACTTGAGAGCACACAGATAGTCTTACTGAAATAAGAACATCAAAATCTGACTCATCTGGTGCAGTTCATTGTGACTGACTGACAATAGCAGTTGGACATGTATTACAATGGTAGACATTTCATTATTGGTTTGTTGTAATATCTGCTTGTCTAGTTCTAGAAAAAGCATATTTGAGAACCTTAGGCCACATTTCAGGTAGTCTGAGTAGCTCTATTGATGTCATCTGAAACCAATTTTCACCAGCTGAGAATTTGGCTTGATAATCTTTTTTTTTCCCCACTGACGCATTCAATTAACTGAAGCAGAAGTATATTATACATCTGGTTTTATTTAATTTGTGCTTCAGTGCCTAAGTTAAACTATTGAATTCACTCCCTTTCAGAGGTAATATTATGTGACCTGCTTTAATATGAATGTAAGCATATCCTGACTCTGTGAATAATAACTTTGCTTCTTTCTTCTGCAGCAATATGAAAACTGGCGGCCAAACCAGCCAGATAGTTTCTTTTCTTCTGGAGAAGACTGTGTTGTTATAATTTGGCATGAGAACAGCCAGTGGAATGATGTACCATGCAATTATCACCTTACGTATACCTGCAAGAAAGGAACAGGTAAATATGTTACCTGAACTACATCTCATATCTTAAATTCCTACTTTACAAACTTAAGACAGCAAATTCTAGATGATGTCTGGCATAAAGGACCTTCAAATGTATTTCTGTCACAAAGGCAATAGTAATCTGTGCCCATATTCTGTTTGAAGATAACACAACCATGCTCTTTTTCCCATCTATTGTGCTAAAAGGAGAAATAAAGTACCCAAAGGACCTCTTGCATACTGGCCATTTCCAGGACAGCTTCTCAACACATGTGTTCTTCAGATCTCAACACAGCTGGCCTACACCTATTGGGTGGGCCGGCAACTTTTTTTCCACATATCAACAAATATTACCAACTCCTGTTCACTAGATCTCACCACCAAAAAAAGGGTGTAGCTTAAAACTGGAACAAATCAATTTCTACTATTACTTGGTTTGTTTTTCAGTTTCCAGTTGAATATATTTTCTCACAATCTACGAGTGACCAGGATTTGTCTGAACTCCACCCCTCACCAGAACTGATGGCTTTGACTAAGTGTTACACACTTACTTACCTCCACTCTGGATCCAGAGCTCAGTATCCTCTTTTTCGTTAGGACACTCAGTTTGGAAGGAGGAGTTCTGAGTTTTGGTGAATGCTCAAAGATCTATTATGCACTTACAGGAGACACTTGTTACATAAAGAACATTTTTCCCTGAGAAAAGACACTGGGCTACAGACTCAGTTTGCTTCTTGCTTGGTTTCATTCTAGACTTCTGATGCTTACACTCTTGGCTTAGCTTTAATAGGAGGGGTAGAGGTGTGTTCCTACCCTATTGTGTAGTAGTTTGTTGGTGAGGGCAATCTCCATAGAAGCGGGACTTACAGGTTTGAATCTCTTAGGTTTAGGAGGCCCCAGAAGTAAGATCTGGCAATTCATATGTGCATTCTCCAGCACTAGTCTACCAGACAAAAGATAGATTGCATCCTTACCACCACTGCTTGCTGAAGCTGTCTTTTTGATTGAAAGAAGTGATTATAGTTGCTGTGCTGGGTCATAGCAAAGTTTTACCATGTAGCAATTTAGATTGTAGTGCTTCCATGCATTCCCAGAAGCCAAATTTGAGGTTCCTAATATTTTGAGGCTCCTAATTTGAAGTCCAAATATGTCACAAATGAACTTATGCACCTAATGTTATGAGTCTTGTGGCTGGTAGCATGGAGATCTTTTTTGTTTTTCTTCTTCTTTTTGCAGCTCAGCTGAAGTCCTATTCCATCCTTTTTATGTGCCTTATTTATCAATCTGAATTTGGTTTATGGTCCCTTTCCTGGGAAAAAACTAAGTGAAGTCAGGCTTACATTTTGGAATGAGCCCTATAAACTTATGAACTTGCTTTTTCCCTTTATTCACAGTTGCTTGTGGGCAACCTCCTGTTGTGGAAAATGCAAAGACCTTTGGAAAGATGAAACCTCGTTATGAAATCAACACGCTGATTCGATACCATTGCAAGGATGGTTTCATCCAGCGTCACGTTCCAACCATTCGTTGTCAAGGGAATGGAAGATGGGATCTGCCTAAAATTACCTGCATGAATCGTAAGTTGTCTTCTTGAGAATTGATGCTATATCAGAAACTATAGACCTACTAATGTACGGGTAAATAAATGTATAACACAGGTTTTCATAAATTATAAATCAGTTATTAAAGATTGTTCCATTAGTGTTCTAGCCCTGCATATTCAAAAGTTATGAAGCAGGCCTCAAAAACGAATGAAATTGTTTATTTTCTCATACTTGAAGTATTTGCAAGTTTTAGTTCTATAACCAACAAGACTGGAAACTGACTTCAATTTTTCTTTAAGTGGAAGCTAAGATACTCACATAATCACTTAACTTAAGGAACATTAAAAAATCAATATGGTAAATTATAGTAATTACAGTAAAGCTGAATTGTCAGCAGTTTTTTAGAATCTAAGCGTTCAATAGGTTGCAATTCTGCTGATGTGCTTCTGTATGTAACATGCATATAATATCAGTTACCTATTTACTTACCCTTTATTAAACATTAATGAATGGTACCCTAACATAAAGTATAACAGTACTATTTATTAGCCATTTTGAAGTTCAGATTGAGGGGTTTGTTTTGTTTCTTTTTCACAGTTTTCTTTTTTGTTCTCCCTTTACAGCGTCCACGTACCAAAGGACTTATTCTAAGAAATATTACTATAAACATTCTTCGTCGGGAAAGGGAACTTCATTAAATTCATCAAAACATTATCACCGCTGGATCAGGACGTGGCAGGACTCAAGGCGCTGAATGCTAAATGGTGAATGGGGATATTCACCATTTCAGCCAAAGTCCTAACTTACTGTGCCTTTTCTATCACTTATAGGAGTATTATTGAATCATTTTGAAACTATGGACTCCAGTATTCACAACACATTTTGCAAAAAAATTTGGTGTTTGTCAGAAAAGTGAGAAAGGAAAAAAAAGAACAAAAATTGGGGGAAACCATTTCCAGCCAGTCAGGATGGTTAGCTTTCTATATGCCACCAGCGGGGGACCATGGGGTAATGTAAACCAGCCAACAGCAATAGTTAAACAGCTCAATTATAGCACCAATGAAAATGTAAATAAGATGATTTAATGATGTTTAATTGTGTGTTGTTTTTAAAATCCTGTATATAAAATTAAAAGTCACATTAAGTTCAGGCATATTTATGGTTATATGGCCTCAGAGGTCTTTAATCATGATTAGGTTGTTGAATGACATTCACCTAGGCTGGAAATGGTTTCAATAATTGCATTGAGTTAAAAGATATTTTTAGCAGGTGAAGATAAACACAAATTACATGACATTTTTGGACACTGCCATCCCCTTTCAGAGATAAAGTTTGTGTCCAAGAGATGCAGAACTTAGAAGTAGCACATAAAGTGGGATCAAGCCTGATGTAGGGACTGCAATGTGGAACTTTTCCTGCTCTCCATACTGGATTCATCATTCATGAGAAAGGACTGCATGGAGGACTTATATATGACAAGGAGGGCCTGTAAAAATCAAAGTGCTAATACATTAACTCTCTCAACCAGGGCCATTTTTTAAAAATGATTTTCACAACACTAACCACAGGTCTATGTTACAGGTCTCTGCATTTTAAAATGGAGATAGACCTAGGATTTGGGGGATTTTTTTTTTTTTGTAAAAAACAAACAAAAATCCAAAAAGTAAATAATTTTGTATATATAACCATTTTTTAATCTTTTTTATAAAATAATGAATGTTTGTGTATGAATGCTGCAGCTGTGAGCTTTGCCTCAGGCCCCAAATTTCATTTTTTTGGTACTGATCCAGGATATTGTATTTGTCTAGGGACAAATTAATCCTAGATATTTTATACGAAGTGAAATTTCACTTTTGAATGTTACAGTACAATCCACATATAAATCTCAAGAGGTCTTGAAAGTAAACAAAAAATGTTGGAAACCTGTAGACGGCCTGCGTAATTCTGCGTTCCAAGTAGAAAAGGCGAAAAGCAAACTCTCATAGCTGATGTCAATTCCTTTAAAGCTTGGAGCAAACATTTATGGAAAATATTTTTTGCTCAGACCTCCTTACTTACGTCAGTCATTTCAGTTAGACTTTTGATGACCTCCAGCTAAGAACTCTTTTGAATAAGTATGCTAGAGATGTTAAGGTCTAGTCCCCCTAAGCAGTTCTCAACTAAAATGTTCTTCTATTCATTTCTCTTCCATGCCTCCTCCCCCATCCCTGATAATTGTTTTCTTTCCTTGTATATCCTTAAACAGTTTTAGGTAAAAACTAGTGAAGGGCACTCTTGATGAAAAACATAAAAACAAGACTATTGATATAAAGAAATCAGCTTGTACTCCTCATTCCTCTCTACTGTAAGAGTAATCAAGATAAGCCTACTGCATCTGTTGCCCATTTTAAACTAATTTATTTAATATAAATTTTGCTATAAGGGATTAAATCTGCATCCCCTAAATGCAACCTTATAATGAGAAGCAGTATTCAGATTTATGTCTCTGCATTTGCTAGGCTCTTCACAGCTGTGCTACAGTGAATTGCTAAATTCCCAGCACTGCTGACTCAGAGGAGCGGAACAAAGACACCTAATCCTTTCTTAGTTGAAGCACAGGAGATTCCAACAGTTACAATCCTAAATGATGTAAAACAATATAGGTAAGGATATACATAGCTTGCACCTTTTCATTTCTTATTCATCAAAGTTGCTCCCATTCTCTCAACCCATTAGACACCATCCAAATGTAATGTTCTTTATTA